CCACCAGGGGCTTTGACCCGGGGGTCGGGGGGGGGGAGCAGGCCCGGGGGGGGGCAAGGGAAGGGAAGCCCCCCCCGGTTCTGGCACCCCATCCGTCTGCTCGCCCTCCCCCCCCCCCCCAGACGCACAAAGCAGCAGTCAAGGCTAAAACTAATAATACTTTATTGTACACCTGCCCTTTGTCGCCCTTCATTGTAATGTACAATGCGATACAGCGGAGAGTAACTCGGGCCAGGAGCCGCCAGGTTTTCTGCATTTTTTTGGAATTTCTCTGCTGGCAAAGATCAGACATGGTCGAACTATCGCCTCTTGAGAACCTGGAGACCCCCCAGAATTGTATTTAAAATCGTTGGAAAAGCAAGTCATTGTATAAATACCACGTACGAAGAATAAAAAAATAAAGCTGGTTGTACATTGAGGATTTGATTGTGACCGCGTCTGTTGCAATACTCCACGTTAGATTATAACAATCAGCACAGCCACACAGACATACAGCTTTGCACAGCGTTAACACAGACGCCTACTTGTAGTGATTTCTGTGCAAAATTTCCAGACCTCTTTGGCACTTTGGGCCTATTAACGGTTGTCTTTGCCCTATCTGTAAACTCCCGACATCTGACAGGTGGTGGGAAACTGCAGCCAATCGCTGTTGCGTCATGGAACAAAGGTATCCGCTTAGCGAGAGGCGCCACCCCAGTTCAGTAATTAAATTAATGAATTAAAGTCTTTCCCTGGCCTAAAAAACATGAGCAAGAAAGCCCTGAAATCTGTCCTTGCCTCCCGCCTCAAATTCTCCACCGCTGGAGCTTCGTCCCGCACTCCAGCCTTATGCTCAATTCAGGGTCTAAACGCCCAGCGCATTGGCCTCCTTGCAACACCATCCCTGGGCTGAAAAACTGGACCTGGAGTTGCTAGTGCTATGTAAAAAAGGGTGAGAACACGAGAGCCACGCTGCACTTCCTCACCCCTATTTTTAAATGTTTGTCTCAATTTGGTAGTGACAGTTTATCCCTGTGATATAAAAGCACCGTTTGAAAACCGAACGCCAGCCAGATTTTGTCCCTCCATGCCATACATTCATAGCCCCCTCCCCCTCCCTTTTCTGAAAGACGTACGAGGGTTCCTGGCAGCAACCCTGGATGGGAGCCTGGCCGGTGGACACGAGCAGCAAAGGATCACTGCAACTCCGGAGGGAAGCTGCTTTCCCCCAACGGAAGGTGGCAAAGGCATTCTCTTCAGAAAGGGACGCCAGCAACACTGAGCATTGGCTTTTAGCACAGAGAAGGGCCAGAAACGATCCTTCCTTGAGGTTTCTCTGAAGTCCAAATTCCAGTCCTGACAGAGCAGCCAGACACGCAGGTCAAGGGTGCCAGCCTTCCCCTCCCGCCGAGAGGGCCCAAGTCCTTCACAGGAGGGGTCAGGAAGCCTTCTGCCTCCTCCCTCCTTCCCCTGGGCCAAGAGGGCCTCTGACCCAGGATCTAAAAGGATGGAGGCTCAACGGTCAGAGGAGAGGGCTGTTCCCCCTTTTCAAATGATGCCCAAGACCCATTCCAGACTGCAGGAGGAACGGAGGCTGCAACCTCTGGCTCTTCTCCTGGGCCCCCATGGCAGGATCTCTGCCGGCCCCCTTTTGTAAGTCCCAAGGAGGAGGCCTGACACCCCCCCCCCCACCCTCCTTGAATGGTGCAGAGGGGTCCTCCCTGGTAGCAGCCCCTCCTACCCATCCCCTCCACTGGAGCCAGAACTGGGGGCATCTCTCGGACTCCTCCCTCCTCTGGGCAAGAACCAGGGCAGCACTCAAGGTTTGCAATTTCATTTCTTTCCTCGGGAGAGCAAGGAACACCCAGTGCCTCCACTGCTTTTCCCTGGTGACTCAACTATTGTATCCAGAGGCCAAATTCCTTTTGTTGCAGAGGGAGAACTCTGGGCCCAAGGGGGAAAGGGGGGTCTATTTTGTGGCCTCCTCACTGACTCTGCATTCACAGGTGCTGAGGATTTTTGGAAGTGCCCCGTTAGGAATTGTGGGAACATTCACTCAAGCTGGGGGAGGTTCTGCAGAGGAAGATAAATAGTAAAAATTGTGATTCAGGCTTGGCTACTCCAGTCTGATGGTCAGTGTCAAAATGGGCGAGGGAGCCGGTCAAGGAACATCTCCCTTTCTGGCAAGAGGGACAGGCTGCGCATTGCAAGCCGGAGGTGCTCAAAGAAAGCTACTCGGTTTCCCTGCGCTGTTTCTGAACCAGGCGTTGAGGAGGGGCTCCTTTCACTGGCTCTCCGACTAAAAATCAGATGGGGGGGAACGGAGCCTTTGGAGGCCCTGCTGATTTGGAACCCGGCAGCCAACCGAACAGCAGCCCCCAGCCTCACCCAGACCCCCTTCCAGCAGCAGCAGCAGCAGCAAACGACTCGGGCACGTCAGAGGTTAGCTGGGCAGGCAGACAAGGCACCACTTTGCTTCTTCTGGGAGGAAGCTCCCCTTCTCTTCCCGCCGCCACCGAAAGGCACATCTGGCAAGTGGAACAGAACGATGGCTTGACGCGATCCAACCAGAGAATTGCTCCCTCTACGGCTCCCGCCTGCCCTGCCCTGACCAGGCAAAGGATTCCAGGCTGCAGCCTCCGCAGAGCCCTTCAGAAGGGGAGAGACGGGACCATTCCAAGTCCAGGCAAGGCACTGAGGCTGGCAGGGGGAGCTTCCCAAGGCCAGGAACCACGCGGCGGCGGCTGCAGCGATGGTGGTGGCGGCTGTGGCTAGGCCAGGAGGCCCAGGCGGGTCACTTTGGCCGACAGGAAGGTGTGCAGGACGAAGACCAAGGGTTTGGGGCAGGAGTGCATCTCCAGGGCCTGTGGAGGAGGACACAGGGGGGAGGGAGGGAGGGTCACCCCCTGCCATTTCAGAGGCCAGCACCCACCCACCCACCCCTTTGTCCCACACAAAACTGAAGCCAGGTGTAGCCAAACCTCTAAGCTCAGGTGGCTTTCTGGTTACCAGTTTTTAACGCACCATTTCTGTGGCTGCCTCCTCCTCCTCCTCCTCCCTCGGGTGTGAGAGCAAGGGGCCTTCCTCCTTTCTTCCCCAGCGGCATTGCAGGGACTTGTCTAACTCCACAGTCCCTCTTGAGGCAAACATTGCCAGACGATGGCTCCCCCCCGCCGGCCCCTCTCAACCGGCCACTCACCAGTTCCCCCTCTGGGCCGCCAAAGTCCAAGTACAAGTTTCGGACGCCATCGTCAGCAGACATCTTCAGCTTCTCAAAGGGGTATCGGAGGAGGAGGCCGGTGGAACCGGTTCCCTCGCTGCTCACGGTGAAGCCGTTCTCATAGTGGATGGTGAGCCGAACGTCCTGGCTGTTCCAGACGCAGCCTAGGCCGAAGGACACAGAGCAGAGCCTCCATGGTCAGGGGGAGGGGAGGGCCACCCCAGGGGTCAACTGGGCCCAGCCTGCCTCTTCCTGTCCAGGGCTGGTCCCCACCTTCTGCCCTTCAAGTCCAGGCGATGGCCTGAGCGGCCCGAGAGCCTGTGCGACATGGCCACATGAAAGGGTTCCCTGCGATGGCCAAAGAGCCTTGGAGGCAGGGACTCACTGGCCTGCCTTAGGCTGCCCATTCCTCAAGGGAGGGACCCCCACCCCACTGGCTGCTCTCATCGTTCTTGCTGCCCAGGGCACCAACCCTGTAGCTGGTGGGTATGATCTCCCCCCCTCCCATTTGCTAGACTGACCGCCCAGGGTCCAGGAGGGGCCACAGTCCTCAGGCTGGGCAGCCGGCCCGTACCTACGGAGACCTCTTTGATGAGCTCTGTGGCGGCATGGCAGCCCTGCACCAGGGTCCTGGTCCAGGTGGAGAGGTCACGGTGGGTCTCCACACGGAAGACGTGCATCTCGATGCCCTGGCGAGAACCGGACCGCGTGGCAAAGCTGAGGTCTGATCCCAGGCAGGGCGACCTGCAGCCTGAATGCACCAGCCTGCGTTGGGGGCAAAAGAGCAGCGGTTGCAAGCGGTGGGGTGGGGGGTGACTTGCTCTGAACAAATAAGCCCCCCACCCCACCCCAGAGGGACTGCAGAAATTATTGGGGGGGTTCCCTTTCCCTATTACACAGACCTTCCCTCAAGCCCACCCCCACTGCACCCTGTTCTCCCCACCAAAGGTCAGGAAAGGACCCCAGCAGGGGAAGCCGACTGGCCAGAGAGCAGCACCCCGTGAGCAGGCAAATCTCTTTGGGAGGACTTTGGAGGGTGTCCCACCAAGTCTCTGCCAGCCCCCCCACCCCTCCCTTGGAGCCCCCTGCTAATCCCTCACAGCAGAAGCCTGTGGGGGGAGGCCTGACAGCTGACCTCTCTGCCCCCTCCCCCGCACAAGTGCCGATTTCTTCTTGCACAGGCCGAGTATAAAGGCCAAAGCGAAGGGAGGAGCAAGGACAGCCCTTCTCTCCTTGGCACCTTGGAGGTGAGGGTGGGGTGGGGAGGCAGGCAGGGATGCCCAGTAAGACTCTTCTGCCAGAATTGGCAGCCAAATCCCCCCCCCGCCCCCCGGCAGCTCTGCTTCACCTGAGGCGCAGGGGAAGAGCTGCTAGCGGCTTTTCTGATTGCAGGAAGCCACCTGGGACTTTCTGCCTCCGGAACAAAACTTCCGAAACAAGCGCAGGGAGGAACTTCCCAGAAGGCCGATGGGCTCCAGAAGGCAAGACCACCCTGGGCCTTCCTGAGAACTGCTGGATCAGAGCCCCAGGCCCAGAGGCAGCCGACCCCTAGCACTCGCAGGGTCCCCCCTCCCCTTCCGGGAGGCCTGAGCCCGGAGGGTCCCCCACCTGGTGGCCACCAGAGGGTAGCTGTGGCAGGGGGAGGCCCAGGCGTCCCTCGTCCAGGGCACGGAGTCAAAGAGCAGCAGGTCCTTCTCCGTCACGGCCAAAAGGACCGGCCGCCAATGTTGCCGCCCGCCATCCAGCCTGGCCTGCAGGAAGCCAAGAGAGACAGAAGGGGGCGCTGAGAGCTTTACGGGGAAGCTGGGGCCCAGGACTAGCGAGAGGCTATGTAGAGGGGCCCAGGGCAGGAGGACCCCCTTGTGGGAGAGCTGCTTACAGACAAGGTTCAGGAGCAAATTCAGATAAGGGGAACCCCACCACACACACACACACAGCCCTTCCCCCCATCTTTTGAGTTACCAGTGGTCGGGGAGGGGCTAGGACGTCCTGGCTGCCATATGCATCCTTCCCCTCCCCTCCCTTTGGCTGCCAGCCAGGGAAAGGTTCGCCCTCGGAAGGAACCGAGGAGGGGGGCTCACCTGCTCGGCCAGCCAGGCGATCTGCTTCACCTCCCTGCTGCTGCCTGGCGCGTGGCTGGCCCCCAGCATGGCATTGAGCTCGGCCAGGACCTGTGGGAGGAGGGCCATGATGTTGCTGTGGATTGCCGTGAACCATGAATGCGCTGTGGCCGTGTCCTTGCAGCGAAGAATCAGGGCGTTCCGGCTGTCGGGCGAATGCAGCTCAATCAGCCTGCAGAGAGAAGCCAGAGCTGCGGAGAGGAAACCAACCCTGCTCCTTTCCCAGCGGAGACGGGCCGGAGAATCTGACGGGGCCTGTGAGACTTGCACTCGCTCCCTGCCCGATGGCCGGGAAAGAGGGTCTCCTCCAGTGACGGCACCTGAGGGGGCATCCGCCACTCCTGCTCTCCGCCAGACTCTGCTGCCACCCCAAGCAGCCTTTGGCACAGTGGTTCCCCTCCCTGATGCTACAGCTGCAGGCGGAAGGCCTGGGTGCGGGTGGCACAAGAGGGTCTCCTGCCTCTGCAACCCAGACCCTCCGCCCAGAACAACATATCTGGAATGGGGGGGGGGGAGGCAGAGAAAGGCATCGGATATTGGCATGCCCCCCCCCACATCCCAGAGAGGGGCTGCAGGGCTGCAACCTTGAAAGGATTGGAGGTGGGGGGGCTTCCTAACCGCACCCTGGAAGTCAGCCCAGGCTGCTAGTCCTCATGCAACATCTTCCGCTTGCTCAGCCCTCTGACCTGTTCTCCAGGTCCGGCATGCTCAGGTTCCTGGCAGCGTAGCACATCTTCAAAGGGATGACTTTGCGGTCCTGTGGGGGGCTCTGGTGCTTTGGGGAGCCAGACTCCTCGCTGAGGCTGAGGCTGAGGCTGGGTGACTGCGGAAACGCCCCGTCCCACGGCAGGTCGGACACCAGCGACGGCTTCTTGATGTACGGAGTGGCCTCCCGCATGTACTTCACTAAGAGCAAGGCGAGAAGGGAGGGGCTGAGCCTCTCCCAGGAGTTCAAGACCCTACAGAGTGACTCCCCCCCCCCGGGGGCTCCCGTCGGTGGGCTGAACAGGGAGGTCGTTTGGGCAGAAAGCAGCCCCAGGGCACTCATTATCAAGGATCTACCTGCTCTCTCCCCCTGGATTCGCACCACAGACACACACACCCCCACCGCCATGGAGCTGCCGGGCAAAGGAAGGGCAGGCGGTGACATCAGGGGAGGCTGTTTTGTCAAGGCGGACTCTGGCAAGGCGGATTCCCCCCCTTCTCTTTGCCTCCTTCATTCCCCCTTTCCTCTTTGCTCTCTGCCTGTAGCCCCTCCCAGGCCAAGGGGCCATTTCACAATCCCCTGATGGGGACCTGTCCCTGTGCTCAGCGCAAAGGCCGCTGGGAGCAGGCGAGACTTCCGGTGCCCCCCTGAACAGCATGGCAGGCCCTCCGGAGGAAGGCTCTCCCACAGCACTGCCCAACAGCCCAGCTCCCCGTTTCTGAGCTGCTCCATGCGGCCCACCCGGCCGGGCAGCAGCACAGAGGCGTGGGGAGGCCAACAGTTCTTGCTCTGGGGCAGCCCCCCCCCCCCTTGCCTGGCAAGGAGAACAGCCCCACCCGAGGCGCTGGTTCCGGGATCAGCTCTGCGCCCTGCTGCCCTGCAGAGAGGATTAGTGCAGCCAGGCTCCTAATCCCTCTCAGCAAGGACAGTTGGCACCCGGAAGGCATCTTGGCTCCAGCCAGGAGAAGCTGCAGGGAAGCTCTACTTGCCCCCAGGGTGCAGAGGCAGCCGTGGGTGGTTTCTGGGGCAGTGGCCCCCAGCAAAGACACAGCCACTAGAGGAGGCCTTTGATCCGATTGCAAAGGGCCAATAATCTGCGTTAGCCTTTGTTCTGTCTGCTTGTTTGGCTAACTGAGCTCTTGGTCAGACGCCATTCAGAGGGAGAAGCCAAAAGGAGAGAGGAAATCTGGATCAATGCTCTGCCAACAGAGGCAGCGGACACACGAGGCCCTGCTTGCGAAAGTGGGACGTGCCTGCCAGCCACAGAAACAAACCCTTAAGAAAACTCTCCAAGTCCCACTAATCCTTCAGCCTTTAGCAAGATCAGCTGGTGGAAGAGCTTCACCCTACAGGGGTGAAGAAGGAACTTCTAAATAAACACACAAACCATTTCCCCCTTTTAGCAGGCAATAAAGTCTTCACGACCTAAGCGAATCTTCTTTCCGCTGGGCTGCTCTCCCCAGAAGGATCTCCCGGTCCCAGAGGGTCACTTGGGTCTCCTGATGAGGACCGAGCCAAGGGTATGTGCAGAGGAAGCAGCTGGCATGGGGGCACCAGGAAAGGGCATCCGGCATCAGCCGCTCGCCTTCTCATCCGCCTCCGGTTGAAGCCGGGCCAGGGGAAATGCCGTCTCCGTTTCCCCATGCAAATCCCGGGCTCCGCATTCCTGGGATCATCTGGCCTTCGGGGGCTGGCAGCTTATGCCCAGACACGCTGCAGCCCTAAAAGGCAGGGAGGCCGGCCGAACTTTTGAAGCCCTTTGTTTAAAGGCAACTCTCTCTGAGCAGCCCTGCCAGGCACAGGGGCCTCACCAAGGGAGGTCTGAAGCAACGGGCACAGGTGCCAAATAAAAATAAAGATTATTTCTCTCTGGGAGGACCAAAGGACTCGCCCAGCATTAAGACCACCCCCAAGTCACCAAGGAGGCAAGAGCAGAGCAGGTGTTTACAGATGTTTTCCAACCAGCTGCAGGGGTGGCAGCAGGATATTAGCTGCCTGAGCCCGGTCAGCAGGGCGCTGGCCTTAACAGGGGCCGGTGGCAGAGGGGGTGCCCCAATGCTGCCCCAGCGCCCAGCCTGTCCAGGCCGCCACAAAGGGGAGCAGGAGGAGAGTCACAGCCTCATGCACAGCTGCCTCAGTGGTGCAGAGGGAGCCATCCAGCCAACCAGCAGGGCACTTTGTGGGGCTCAGATTCACCCTCTGGCCTCTCTACAGACCCAGGAGCTCCAAGAGGATGGGGGGGAGGGGGGAGGCGGAGGGAGCAGCGTTCCTTCTGCACAGACCACAGAGTGGAAAAAGGCCCCTCCTAGGAGGCTGGCTCAGTAGAAGAAGAGCTCCACAGCTGGCTACCAGATGTTCGCTCTCCAGTATCCTGTCCATAAAACTTCCCTACCCTCCGTTGCCCAGGAGGCCTTCCCTCCTTTCCAGCCAGCTCCAAGAACAGCAGCCGGCCAATGACTCAAGCGCTGGGAAGAATAAATCCCAGCCCGTCACCTTCTTTGCAAGAGCCTCTTTCGGAAACCTGACAAGTGTTTTATTCAGCACACACACACCCAATCCCCAAACCCCTGGATTGAAAGGCAGGAGAGAGGAGGGGCTTAAGGAATCCTGTGGAGGAAGAGAAACATTTGGGCCTCTGGAGAAAACTCTTCTGTGGGTCAGGGGCTGGTTGCCCAGGAGGAACCAAGGCAAGTGACTCCAAAGAGGTTCAACCTGGGCAGAGCCCCAGTTCGAAAAGGCCCCAAGGATGGTCGGGTGGCCTCGGGCGGCCTTTGGCTTCCCTAACAGTGGCCCTTTCAGCTGCAAAACCCCCGAATGCCACCCACATTCCTGGTCTCTTGAGGAATGTTCAAAGGACCTTCGCTTGCCACAACAGGCCAAGGCAGCCTGAGAGGTCGCTCCATCCGCTCCCACCAAGACTGACCCCAGCCGGCCTCAGCCCCCATTCTTCTCCAGCCGAGGAAGAGCCGCTGCTCAGAGAAAGGGGGGCTTTCCGGAAGTTTTCACAACCTTTCGCATTCTGTATATGGGGGGGGGGGAGGAAATAAACAGCCCAGCTCCCCCCCCCCGCTAGAAACATGCCCTGTTCCAAGTCCACAGCTGCCTTTCAGCCGCAAAGAGCCCTGAGTGGCAGGAGACCCTGCCGTCTCCCAGAGGGCAAAGCAGGGGAAGCCGGAGGGAGGGAGGGAGGGAGGAGTGGCCATCTCTGGGTGGGACCTTCCGGCTCCCCACAGAGCCCCCTCCCATCCCTCTTCCCACCCTCCCTTAAGGGGCTGCCGCATTTCTCTACGTTTTCCCACCCAGAGACCTGCAGAGGAAGTACCCTTTACCCTGCAGAGGAAGTAGGGGAGAAAAGGGGTGAGCCGAAGTGGCCCTGGGGAGATTGAGCCCAGCTGCAGGCAGGACACGGGGGACTTAGGGAAAAGCTTGGCCAATTGAGGGGCCAGTGTGCGGGGGGGGGGGGGGTGGGGGGGGGGGGGGGGGGGGGGGGGGGGGGGGGGGGGGGGGGGGGGGGGGGGGGGGGGGGGGGAGTGTGGGGGGGGGGGGGGGGCTTCTGTGTTTCACTTGTCAACTCCCAAAGAGCGGCACAGACCAAGCCCAGCCTTCCACCTCAGGGCAATGAAGGACAGGCCTCCTGCAGAGTTGGGGACCCCTTTGAAGTCCTGGCTATTATGAGCACTTTTGCAGACTCCCCACAAAGGAGCATCAGCCGACAAGACCCTCACTTTCTTTCTCTTGCTGGGCGGATGGAGATTTGGGGGGGGGGGCATTGTTCTCCTCCAAGAGGGGCTGAGAAAGGCAGGCTGTGCTCCAACAGGAGGAGGAGCATAAAAAAACGCTGCTTGAGTCACTTCCGAAATCCCCTGCTAGTCTTTGCTCCCTTGGCACCCAAACTTCGCTTCTCCTGCTCCTGGGCTGTGGGTTACAGCAGGAAGCCCAGCCCAGCCCCCGCAGGGCCACTTATGGGCCCACAAGAGACCCTCCTTGGCCAAGAAGAGAGCAGAGCCCCAACACCAAGCATTCCCTCCCCCGAGAGGAAGAATGTACAAGCGCTGGAGAGCCACAGGTGTGCCCTGCAGCTCCGCTTCCTCATGGCTGAAGCTGCACACATGGGTTAAAGGCAGGCTGAGCAGCACCGCGGTCCCCTCTCCAGGGCCTTGCAGGAGCAGCCCTGGGCCCCCAAAGACACGCCAGACCCCCAATACACAGAGAGGCGGCGCTTGCCGGCCTTGCCCCAGAAAGAGCATCCCGGCAGCCAGCCTGTTCGGGACTCGGAGGGGACTCGCTGCCTTCTGCAACGGCCGGAGCAGAGCGCGTCCAGGTCGGGGCTGCCCGACGCTCCCCGCCGACCTTCATCAGGTCTCCAGCCCCGCAGCCTGTTCCGGGCAAGCAAAGCGGGCCTCGTAAGGGAAGGGCTGGAAGGCTGGGCTGAAGCGCTTGGCCCAAAGCCGGCCGCCTCCTTGCCCTTCCGGGAACCTGGCAGAAACCGGGCCAAGAAGTGGGAGATTCCGCTTGGAAAGCAGCGCCTCCGTTTCCCCCCCGGCCTTTGGCGCCTGGCACGGCACGAACCGGCTGGCCCCCCGCCCTCCCCCCGGGCGCCCAGTGCAAGCGGCCCCCGGGTAGCCGCCTCCCCGCAGCTCACCTTCCAGCAGGACCTCCCGGCCGGCCCGCTTGAGCGCCTGCACGGCCTGATCGTGGGTGGCGTCGCGGAGGTCGAGGCCGTTGACGGCCAGGATGGCGTCGCCCAGGTGCAGCGCCCCGCAGCGCTCGGCCGCCAGCCCCGGGAAGATGCGCGAGATGAGCACCGGCATGCGGTTCTCGCGCCCGCCCTTGATGCTGATGCCCAGCCCGCCCGCCTCCGCCTTCACCACCCGCACGCGCCGCACCCCGGCCGGAGGGGAGCCCGGCGCCGAGCCCCGCGGCGGGGAGGGCGGGGAGGGGGCTCCGGCGCCCCGCTCGGGGGAGGCGGAGGGCGAGGCGGCGGCGGCGGCGGCGGCGGAGGAGGCGCCGTTGGGCAGCCCGTTGCGCGGCTCCGGCTCGGAGCTCAGCGCCAGCGCCTCCCCGCTCAGCTCGGCCACCGCCCGCACCCAGCGCTCCCGCAGCAGCACCTCCACCAGCCCGGCCTTGCGGGCGCGCGTCCACACCGCCATGCCCGCCGAGACGCCGCCACTGGGCGGGCGGGCGGGGCCTCTTGCAGGCAGGCAGGGAGGAAGGGAGGGGGCGAGGAGGAGGCTGGCCCCGCCCGCCCGCCGGTTCGTGCCAAGGGCAGCGCGTCGGGGGAAAGGAGGGGGGGGGGGGGCTGCCGGCTCCTCCGCGGGAGAGGCGCGGGACTCGGCCTGAGCGCGCAGCCTTCCGCTGCAAGGGAGGGGGAATGGCCCTTATCCGGCCAAGGAAGGCGCCGCTTCGTGGCCCCAAGCGACCCTGGGCGCTGCAGGCTTCATCTTCTGGGGGAGGGGGGGCGTTGCTCGGCAACAACCTGGCCAGCCCCTCCCCCCGCAGCCCCACTGAAGGCCCCGAGCGGCTTCGGCGTCCCAACAGGAAACCCCCACGGCCTCCGGGCAGGAGCAGCCCAACAGGTCAAGAAGCGCTGGTGATTCGGAGCCCTCATTCTCCCCTGGGAATAAGCCTCGGTTTTCCGATCGGTTGCAAGAGGGAACACGGAAGCCCCTTCGGAAGCGTCTTTGCAAATACACCGGGATTGCAGCCCCCCCCCACCTCCACCCCCAAATAAAGTCTGAAACGAGCCTGGAGCCTCTGGAGGAATTTTTATTTGAGCAACTTGTGTCCCTGGCCAAGAGGAGCAATCTAAACATTTGGTGCCCCAGGGAGGGAGGGAGAGCTTTCGTTCTGCTGAATTGGACACAGCAGCCTTTCCTAGCCAAGCAGGGAGCCACCCTGTGCGTTGTGGGAGTAGCCTGGGAGGGGGAGGGAGGGGCTGGCAACATTGGTGAGCAGAGCAGGAGGGGCTTGGATCTTCTCAGGCCAGCACTGGACACACGACCTTCAGGCTCCAATGAACAGCAGCCAACAGCCCTTTCCTTCTCTCCCTCCGCAAATGCAGGCACACACACACCACACACACACACACACCCTTCCTGGAGAAGCACGAAACAAAGCAAGGTCAAGGCCGCCTCCTCCCCCATTGCTGACTTTGCTCTTCTGCTTTGATGGGAAGGAAACCAGGGCTCCTGGTCCACAGAGGTGGGGTTGGAGGGCCTGCCCGGGCCTGGCGTCAGCAGGTCAAGGGGTCCCGGAGCAGCCCTGAAGGCCATTTGCCCAGCAGGAAGCCCGCTGGCCCCTTGGCTGCCGGCCACAGGCTTTTGCCAGAGAAGATGTGGCTGCTGGGTCAGCCCAGCCAGGAGGCCCTTTTCTGGCCGAGGGATGTGCCCAGACGGGCCCTGCGTGGAAGAAGGGCTCGGTCTTTGCAGTTCTTCCCCCGGGAAGGCTGAGAGGAAAGCCTTCTGGTGGCAGCCAATGCCGGAACTCCGGAGCGAAGAGGCCCAGGGCAGTCCTGGCTCCCAGGCACAAGAAGTAGATTATTCCGAGGGCTGCCGCCTCTCTTTCCCAGCCGACCACGGTGGAGACACAGCCGGCCTCAAGGACGCAGGAGGGCGATGGCTCGGGTCCCAGTTGCTCCTCTGGCCATGCAGCCCCCTGCTTCTGCAGGGAGGGGCACCGGAAGCCCCCCAACGAAGCACGGCCTCTGCAAAGATCCTTTGAGGTCTCTGCGGGCAGCACTTTAGGTCCCAAACTTCTTCTGATAGATGGGTGGTGGCAGCTGGGCTTTGATGTCCATCAGCGGCCGCTCCATCACCACCAGAGAATCCTCGTCCAGGAAATCCACAAAGAGCAGAGGCTGCAGGGAAGGGGGGGGGACAGGGAGGGAGGGCAAGGAGAAGAAGAAGCAAGCAGTAAAGTTAGAGGGGGCTTTCTGGCTCGGCTGACTTCCCGAAGGGCATCTAGCTTGGCCCTTTACCTCGCAGGCCTGGTCAGGGCAGGGATGCTGCCGTGTTGAGCTCCCTGGTATTGGCAGCCACAAGAGGGCTTGCATCCATTTGGACGTTCAGAGCACCAGGCCGTTTTGTGACACGCAGCCGCAGCCACACAGGAGCCACCAGCTCTTTGCTTCCCGCAGGAGCCCAGCGGAAGGAAACTTCATCCTCTTGCTCCTGCAGCTGCCCAAGAGCAGCAGCCCTTTGCTTCCACCTCTCATGCAAGGGCAGGAGGGGGGAAATTAGGGGGCCCCTCCCTCCCCTTGGGCTACCAGAAGACCCTCCCTCGCAGACACCTGGTTTTTCCAATGAAGGAAAGTGCCGCACTCCATGAGCCCAGGGACTTCCTTGGCTCAGGCACAGGATGGCGGCCCCCCTCCTGCGTTACTGATGGGCCAAGGGCTGCTCAGTGGGGGCTTCAGCAGCTGGCACAATGCCCAGACTGCCCAACGGTTGCTGGAACTGACAATCCCAGGGTATCTTTGCCAAACACTTGCTGATCCTGCTTAATCCAAGGGCCCAACTTCTCCCCTGGAACTACACACTGGCCTCCCTGCAGACCTGGGGGCAGGGGGGGGGGCAGGTGCTGCTTGCCCACCACACATAAACGCCCCCCCTCCCCTCCTGACACAAGAGAGCTCGTTGCCCAAAGACCCACTTGGAACTTCTTGCAGATCTTGAAGGCACGGCCACGACCCCGTTGGATTGTTTTCACATGTGGCTCCGGCTTCTTCGAGGCCGCAGAATCCTCGTGCAGCGGCTGGAGGAGCAAATTAAGCTGTCAGGAGTGGCCACTGACCGAGCTAAAGGCAGGGTTGCTGAAGGGGTCCCAGTGGCCTGGTCTTCTGCCGAGCCCCAACCAGACCAATTGCATTTTGGCTGAACTACCGGGTGGCGCTAAGCACCTCCCTGAACACTGATCCGGACCCCAGAATTAGTCCCCCCCACCCAGCTGGCCTGGATGTGGGACCAGCAGCCCAGCTCCCCTCTTTTGGCAGGCAGGAGGTCTGGGGGCTCCTCCCCTGACCCAGCCTGTGGGGGAGGGCAAGTGGCACGGGCGACCTCGGCTCAGAGGTGGGGAGCCTTTCTGCAGGTCAGGGGGCGCCACACTCGCCCCCCCCCAACGTCCACTCACCAGCGACATGTCCAGGATGCAGAACATGTACGTGTCGTGCAGCAAGACGTGGGAGGGGTGCCTGGGGCGGAAGGCGATGTGGGTGATGGGCGTGTCCCGCTCCAGCCAATCCTTGTGCAGGCCCAGCTGCTGCAGCTTCCGGCTCCAGGGCGTGTAGCCCCTCTCCCTGATGCTGAACTCAAAGACCTGGAAGCGGGAAAGGCAGCAGGGAGGCCTGACTCCCCCTCCCTCCGTGAAGGAAACCCCCCCCCTCCCAGTGCTGCAATCAGAGCAAACTTTCCCCTGGCAAAAAAATGCAGCTTTGCAGGGCGCCTCTCTTCACTGCCGCTCATTCCAGTGGAAACAAGACCTTCCGCTCGAACTGGGATGGAGGATGGTGACTGGGCTGCTGACTGCAATGCAACCTCTCCCCCCCCCCCCCAATTTCAGGGTTCCAAGAGCAGCCGGTAACAGCCGACGTCTGCACGAAGGGCGGGTGTGCAAGGCCGACCCCGTCCTTGACTGGCAAGGCCTGGGGCCGTCCTCGGGGGCAGACCTTTGTGCCTTGCCAATCTAGGGAAGAGCAGCCCCTACCTGCTGATCTGAATGCGCAATGATGAGGTTATTGGTCAGCGGGTGGATTGCCATGGCGGTCACTGGGCACTCGTAGGCCGGCACGGTGCAGTGAAGCTGGGGGAAAAAAGGCCCAGTGGAATAAGAGAGAGCGCCTGCCTGGGCCTCCCCCGCTCCCAGAACTGCTCTCTCCGTCAGAGGCTCCTGGGCTCATCGGAGGGCTGAGCCAACTCGCTGCTCTCTCCCACAAAGCCAACGCAAGGACTTTGGCAGAGCAGGTGCCTGCTGCCCACCGGACCCAGACCAGAAAAGAGATGGAGGAAGCAGCAGACCTGGTCTCTGGACGCCACGTTTCCAGCTGGGCTCACCTTGGTATTTTCCAAGTTGTAGATGCAGATTTCCCGGTCTCCACCTGCTGCACACAGCCACCTGCCATCCACACTCACCGCCAGTCGGTGCACCGCTTCCAACGTCTCTGCAGGGAGAGAGAGCGATCAGGAGCTTCAGATTTCCCCCAGCAGCCCTCTGCCGCAGAGGCCTTTCTTATCTGGGAGCACATGCAGGAAGTATTTGGCTGTTCTTGCAAGAACTTCCAATATGCCGTAACCTAAAACAAACCGCTGTTACCCGTATTTGGACGAAGCGTCTGCAGATGCCTGCAGATCCCTGCTTGCGAGAGCGAAAGCACTTGCACGCAGCCCCGATCCGATGCCACGAAAAGCCTGGTGGAGTCGCCAGAAAAGAGGAGGTGGTGGGCCGAGCCGTTCAGCCTGGGGGCTTTGTGAACCTTGGAAAAAGCAAACGAGGATGGACGCAACCGGCTGGACCCCCCCCCAGAGAGAGCCAGGAACGTTTCCAGCCGACTGAGCCCCCCCCCCCCCCCCCCACGGAGATCTCACTCACTCTGCTGATGGAAACGTGGTCACGGACGAGCTGGACCCGATGCAGGCAGAACCTGGTAGCTGTGGAGTAGGCAATCCAGCCCCCACACGGAGAGAGGCAGCTGCTGCAGATGTGCTCCGGGCCCTTCAACGAAGCAAGAGGATCAATATTAGGAAGGAAGGAAGGAAGGAAGGAAGGAAGGAAGGAAGGAAGGGAGGAAGGAAGGAAGGAAGT